AAAGTAAGCTCCAGCTCACTTTGGGTCAAAGCAGCAAGTAAGATTACAGGGCAAAGTGTAGGCTTTGGGTAGTACTTCCCACTGCCAAGACATCCCTCACAGAACCACAACTCACTGAATACAAGTTGACTGAACCAGATCTCTCCAGAGATACAGGAGAAAGTAAATCGTATCAGGACTGAATCTGGAAGCACTAGAGGTTGGTGTATCCCAATAAAAATGATTCTTCTCACTTTAATTAACAGCTTTGATATGAAATTACTCCACCGAGCTCCTTCTCAACAGCTAAGAGAGACCACTAACCTGGTAATTCCGAAACCAGATCCTCTCATCTGTAACGGTGAAGGTGAAGACGTGGTCCACAAAAGGCTGACTTTTGGGGTGATACTGCGGAGTACTAAATATCTGTAATAAGAGGCAGCATTTCTGAATATCTACAGTTTAAGAGGTCAAGCATAAATGGCTCAGTTTAAATTTGTCTTAATTTACTAAGACCCCAATCCCAGGTTACATTTCAAAACTCAGAACTTAAGAACAAGTGCTCAAGTCACATTGAGAACACGACCCAAATCGTTGGAGGACTTTTTGAAAGATCAGAAGGATTAAACTGCTGCTTGAAAAAAAACGCTTGAGATTTTTAAATATGTTTGCCAAAGACCATTTCCAGTGAAGAAGAAACATTCGACAGCAGAACTACAGACTGACCTGAATAAACAATTCTTTTAGCAGGGCATAGTGTGGCTCCTTGTCAAATATCTACAAAGAGTAAAAATTGAATTTTACATGCAAATCTAAATGCAATAGTCATGCAAAGAGAACAAAAGCAAAATCAATGAAATGGAAGCTTTACTTACTGGATCAAAAGACAAGAGGGGCCGTGAGCCCCTTAGGCAATTTCCCGTCATCTTCAATTCAGCCAGCGTGTGAACTACAGTGATTTTTACAAAGGTATCATTTTAGTACTTACAGAAAACTGTACAAAGAAGCAAGAGTACAGACACAACAATGTCAACCGGCTTACCATTCTGCACCAAGAATTTAGCTGATGGTCCCTGTGGTGTGTTTGAAAGCCTGTGGAGGACAGGTGGTGGGGAAGACAGAAAAGAAAAACATTAACAGCAGCCAGAAGGTATGCTGGATTTCCACAGTACACCCTCAACTCCTCTATTGAAGTAATTTTGATTGCTTTCATAACATTACTGAGTTCCTTTAACCTACTCATAAATACCTGCTTTCTAAATAATTTTGTAAAATGCTTCTGTAAACAGTCTACAAAAGCTGGTCCTGCACTGTAAACTTCCACTATCCACAGAACTGCAATATTAGAACAGATTCAACTAAGCAACACTATTGCATGCACCTTCACTATCACAGTAAGAAATTTAGGCTAAAACTGAAGCATCTGCAGCTATTTATAGAAAGGTAATAAAACTTAACAAAACATAGCATTTCCTTACCACATGTAGAGATCCTGTTTCTTTTTGGCTTCAAAAAAGATGCACTTGTTGCAGTTTTTCATTTCACACACCTACACAAGACATCTCAAATTAGCTGTTTACAAACATTCTGAAGATATTACTGAAAGCCTTCCACATTCATCACTTTGATTTTCCCCCCTCCAAAATACAAGTTCAAAAGCAAAGGTTTCGACTCATGAAGTTCCACCTAATGATCCCCACACTTGAGCTGAAGCAGTTGTTTTGTTGAAAAACCTCACGATATTATTAAAAAGAGTAATAACTTCATTGAAGCTACAAACAATCTGATAAGCTCTCCAGGCATAAGCTTGAGAGCAGGAGCTGTAACATTAGGTCCTAGGTTCAGCACTGCCAATATCCTATTACATTGTCTGGGCTGGCTGCATATTTGTGTCCTGCATTCTTCAAGTATGAACTTTCACCTACATAGAAGGCTTTATTTCTTCATGACCAAAATCTAATTAAAAAACTTAATTAAAAGTTTAATTTCGCTTTCATTCATCAAAATTCAACTTCTCGTTTTAACAGAAGTGGTTTTAAATAGCAATAATTTTCACCTATGAAATTACACAACTCCTCTAACTAGTATAATATCCTCTGAGTTTGGCTGCCCTTTTCCCTTGCACATTGAATTTTCATAGAAAATTGAAAAAAAGAAGATGAGCACTAGAAAAATCCTTGCTTACCTCATTAATTACAAATAGCTGGTCTTTACGGTCCATTTTAGTATCTGGAAGATAAGAACAACATTTATGAGGCTGGAAAGACAATTTAACACACGACATTCCTTTAACAGCCAGTCCTTTTGCAAAAATTTTACAATAAATGAAAAATTTCAATCCTGTTATGGAATAAACAAGCATAGCAGCAAAACTGGGCACTTGCAGGACTGATGCCACAGGATTAACGTCTCAGGAAATCTTAAGATGTGAAGGTGCTGTATTTGTTGGCTCAAAAGGGTTTGGTGTTTGCTTCAGATACAAGTTTCATCAAAACACTTATGTACCACGTTAAAAAAAAATAAAGAGCAGGTTGCCCTAAGTTCTTGGCTTAAAAGTATTCTGAAAATATAAATTAGGAATGACGCTTAACCCTACCTGCTTTAGAGTGAGGCATCAGTGTTCTTAAGTCTTGCATTAGGTGCCTTGTTCTGAAATTGATTCCACGAGAGGAGAATATCAGCACTCGCTCCTTGTTCTTCCATTTACCCTAGGAAAAAGACACAAAAGTTACCTGGGAAGTTTCTAGCCTTACTACTACTACAACACAGCAAAAATAAGTGTTCGGACAGAAGCGAAAAAAACCCCAATTGTTATTATCTACCCACCCAGCAAGAGCGGTGGCTTCCCTAGAGAATGCGGGGGCCTTGCTTTCACAGAAGGGACTGTCCCCCATCCTGCTCCGCTCTGCTCCCACCTAAAGCCTTTCCCTCGCACCACAGTAGTAAAAGCCACGTGCACTACTTATTCACAAAGGCCACCTCTCCTTCCCTGCAGAACGAGCTCAGGTGCAGCCCCAGAGCACAGCTCCGCTTTTCCTACCCGGGGCCGTCCGACCACATCTCCGCCCTACACGTGCTACTCTTTGTTTTTCTGGAACGCAACTTATAAAGCAATTAGTGAAATCTCCTCAGGATCACTCCTAAATGGAGCAGGCACCGTTTCCACATACCCTTTGTACACAACAGAATTACCCCACTCTTCCAAGTCCTTCTGAGTTCACGGTAACCACCTT